TTGTGAAACTCCTTCTCTAGGTGACGAGTTTTATCACAGTTTTTAGACTCTGTTCACCGCGATCGTGGAAAAGGCGGAGCCTCTTTCGATTGGATATGATTAGAGGGCATGTTCGCGAAAGAGGTGCAACATGGGCGGGAATGGAGATGCTGGGGCACCCGACACTGCTATTGATAAGCTCTGTACGTGCATGAAAAAAAACCAAATTGTTTTCCGATATATAATGTGTATCTGCATCTATGTGCGAGACGGAAAATCCTACTTCTGAAACAATCTAGATCGAACCTCGCAAGCACAGTGCATGTCCCATTTTGCAAAATCTCTTCAGACAATACTTTTCGATCGTCTCACTCCTCATCAGGCGACTTCTTTTTGCGCTCAAAAGTCACTAGCAACCGTTCAAACCTAGCCAGGCTAGTATTTAACACATTGATGACCGCTTGACACACATCGTGTGTCGGGCAATGACTACCGCGTGCTCAGATAATCGCCGGGGGCAGGCGGTCCGCAAACTCGCGCTTTTCTGCAGGCGGTCAGCAGAATTTTGGGGCGTGGCCAGACCTTCAGCGGGTGGTACTTCCGCTTTCTGCCAGCGGGCAGCAATACAGAATTTTCTGCGAGCGCTCGTCAAATAATATCTTCCAGCGAGCGCTGGCCAAACTTTCAGCAAGCGCTCGGACTCTTTTTAGTATTTTCGGGCGTACGTCGAGCACAGGTAAGACTCTGTGTGGTAGAGGCGTCACCGTTGGTTTAATTACTCAAGTTTGAGGTACTTTCTCTCAGCGGAAAGTACCTGGGGGTTGCGCGGTCCTCCACAAAGGACCCTGCGGCCCTCAAAAATTTTGCATATTCTCGCGGAAAGTCCGCGAGAATGCGGCCACTGCGCCGCAGCTAATCCATAAAGAAACCGCGATTGTTCTTCAAGCATTCTTCTTTAATTTTGCCAACTTTCTTCCAAATTTCTGCAAGCGGGCCGCAAAAAATCAACGAACTATTTTTCCGGTGCGCGCTTGCTCAAAATTCGCATGGCCGCCTGCCCCCGGCGGTTATCTGAGTGGGACCGCTTGAACACCATGTGTGTCAAAGCTTGAATTTTGTTAAAATCACTACCGTTCTAGGATGAAGTGAGCTTTCTTTTGCACTAGTAAGGATGGCCTCTACCTTTTTTGACAGCCTTTCAGATCTATTATAGGCGTACTGTAGATGGTACTATGCGTAATTATAGTTGAAAAATGTGGGCTGATCCGCAAAAGGCCTCGGTCCCAGAAGGCAGACAACTAAGAATCTGCATGGTCGTCAAAGTGTTAAAGTCAGAGTCCGGGCAAAAAGTTGATTCAAAGTAAGATTTTGTGCTTACCCGGGCCTATTCGCTATGCTGGATCCTAAAATCCACACTGGAAAGCGCGAAAACCAAAAAAGGGCTTTAACGCAGGATCGAAATCAGGAGGTGGGCGGGGTCTTCTTCACCGTTCATTCCAGGCATCCGGAGCGATCTTCTCGATTCCGCTAGCCGCCCTGACATCTCCACAGGTCAAGAGCGAATGCGTGATTTGAAATAGGAACCGAGATGATCGCCCTGGAAGCTGGGACTGTGAGTTCACAGTTGGGAGCACCCTGCCCACTTTTGATTTCCCTTATGCTTTACAGCAATTCTCCGCCGTTTTCGCGCTCTCCAGTGTGATTTTAGGATTCAGCATAGCGAATAGGCCAGGGTAAGCACAAAATCTTACGTTAGAATCGACTTTTTGCCCGGACTCTGCCTTTATGTACCATCACTCTGCAGGAAATGAAGTCCAGAAGAGGAAGAAGCAGCAGCGGCAGAAGCATCAACTGCTAAATCAACATCAGCAGCTGTCGAAATAGAACCATAACGATGCTTCCTACGAAAACGCGAAAGAGAAAATTCTGCAAAGATTAGTCTTTCCACAAGTATGTTGTGGGAGCCTGCAACGCGAAAATCGGGCGGGATGCAATTAGAAGAGGAGTATAGGATCG